TGCGTACGGTTTCTAGGATAACTGCCTTTTGTATCGGGCCCTTAATCCAACTGTTAGGCGAGAGCTTCTTGAGATGTTGATAGAAACTCTTCGCTATCGCTATTATTATAAATACCGTTTTAATAAATGTGAGGGCTAATGAGGCCTTTCAAATATATTAGATGTTTAATAGCAATTATCTTTTACCTTTTAACATATAAATAAAACATGTTGCACATAAATTTATATTTGATGTCCAACATAACATATTATTGTCATACGCAGGTGTACTTAGCATTTAACTTCGCTTTATTGTTTAGTATTAAAATAAATTAAGTCTACAAAGTCCTGTCACTTCCATTCAAGCTGGAGAAATTAAATATAGGAACTTTAAATATTCTATCAGAAATATTAATAACAAATACATAAAGATATGATAAAAAATATAGGTTACAATTTATCTATTGTTAGGAACAAAATCCGATATTGTGCCGGTGTACTGGCACAACACTATCCTTACTAAAATGTCGACGCCTATGTCCCTTCACTAATCATTCTCACACTTGACTTTGTAATTCAAAGGATTCTAAATAATAATGTCTAAAACTATATTAGTAATTGCCTTCTTACACAAGGTAACGTAAATCTTCGAAACTTTAATGGTATTTTTGCGTTATATCGCGATGCGCGTGTTACACACAACATTGAATCGTAAACTCAAGTTGTCTATACCGTCAGTAAAGGCATAATAACTACTTTTAGACAGTATTAGTTAGAAGCACCCGGCGCGAATGACGTGCTTTCCTTCCAAAGTCCAGTGTCAGAATGAATAGTGAGGGGACGTAAACGTCGACATTTTAGTAAGGCTAGTGTTGCGACAATACATTGGCACATTTTCGGATTTTTTTGATAACATCCGACCATACATGTTAATTCTCAGCGACCAGGAACGTAGGAACGTGTGCGAGCGATCGGTTTTGTCAACTAAAGAACAAAATGTCGGCAACGCGTGTCTGTATACGAACCTTTAATTGCGCCGTTGCGTAGCTTAGTGACTAAAATCGCTGGATTTCTAAGATTTACTTTGCCTAGTTCACGAAGGGTCTAACTTTATTGCACAACTTTGTGGAATAAATCATTGAACTTTCCCAATGTTTTGTTTAAAAACTATAAATTTCAAGTTATATTAACGTAAATGACTCCTTATGGCCTTTTGTTCGTCGAAAAATCAATTCTAAAGAAAAACACGACTAATCTTTGGTCGTCGTTTAAATTATACGTAACATGTAATTGACAAACAGTCGGAAAAAGAACTCATTAAATGGTTTTGTGTAGCAATTTTTCTTTGGCCGCTTCAAGTTAAATCCATTGCTGTCCCCGTCCGACCGGATTACAGCGCCCCCTGCTGGCAAGTGCTGTAGAAACGAGCAAATAAAATGCTAATTCCCAGCAAAATCTCCTTTGATTAAATTGTAAATACACACAAACATGCTTCCTCCGAAGCTGAGGCAAGTTCTTAATTGAAAAACATGGATTTTATTTTTTCAACAAATGAAAGTTTCCTAATGCTAAGAATGTGTTATTCAATCCTAAGGACGGCGCTCCGAGCGCGCGGATAAAACGTGCACTAAACAATAAAAAAACCAACCCCTTTCACACAGTGCTGCCACCCTTACATGGAGTTCAAAGGTGAAAACAACCCTTGCAAAGTTTGACAAAAGTTCTACTACTGCCCGCTAGGTGGCGCTGTCCCACGACGTCCCGAAGCATTCGCAAGTTTGCGCTAGTATGCGTGACAGAGCGAGAACGCAAGTGAAAATAAAAAAGGAGTAAAATAGACAGCAATATGTGTATACAAAGGCGTGGTTACGTGCATTTAACCGTTTTTTTTATCGCAAAAATGGCCGGAACTTTACACGTTTTGCATTAGATCATAAAGTCGCAACTACATTGTACGAAACCAGATTTGCGTTTTATCGTTTACGAATAAGGTTGAAAATTGTTTAGTCGTATGAAACACTTAGGTTAGAAGTTGGAAAAATGGCGAAATAATTGGCGTCACCGGCGTCGCGGCGTCAACAGAGAGAGAAAGTAGCAGGTCGGCGGTGCGTTAGAGCGGGGCGCAGACGACCGTTAGGTGAAGGGGGACGGGCTATTGGAGTGAGTGATGCGTTAGAGAGGGACGTAGCGAAAAAAATATTCGAAAAAAGCGATTTTCACGAAAGGTACGCGTCGCGATAGAAATTACAGTAACATGGGCGCGGTTTAAAAAACGCCAGGGGCGCCTGCGCGGCGGTAAAAAGCTGGCGCGGAAGTAAAGGGGGAAAGAGACGTTAGTGAGCGTTATGTGTGGAGTTGCAGTGCCGCGGCGACGCGGTCGGCCGCCAGCCGCCACTCGCCGCGACCCGCGACTACACCCGCTAATTACTGCGACCCAACTGCGACCCGACTGCGACCTAACTGCGACCGTGCCAGCCACGCAAAATGCTTGTGTCACCACGGTTCATGTCACCAAAGTGTTTAGTGCTCTTACTGAAAGTTTGGCGTGAAGGCGGTAGAAGGTAAATATCACGGTCTTACCAAATTTTGGACTAACAAACAGTGCACACGGTGTAATCGTTGTTATAGTACAAACATTAAACTGATACATCGAATAACGTGTTATTTTAGGTAATCCCGTGATCTTAAAGTCATGAATTTTAATTAGGAACTTACCGTGAATATTAGAGCAAGCCTAAAATTACGTCAATTTTCTAAATACGTTCAATTATTAAGAAAAATTAAAAAGTCATTAAATCGAATTAACTTATAAAATATTTTATTAAAATGATAAATAGGAATATCAGGTTTCGAGTGACTTCTTATCTCGAAGTAGAAAGTACCGTTGTCACATGCGTGTCACAAATCGCACCTTCAACAATAATAAAAGTGTTATCGTCGACCAATGTTAGTGTCAGGTCTATCTCACGCGATAAACCCGATAACAGGCATCAGGTGACAGATATTTTGTGTCTACGTGCATTTAAAAAAAAAACTCTTAAAGATATTAAAATTTTATACCACTGGTGAAACGCGTTTTTTAACTTTAAAATACCATGATAATGTCAAGAAAAGTTATATTTAATTTGAAGTCGCTATTGACATTTATTACAGATTGATAATTTAAATGTTAATCATCATTGTAACAGACGAAGCATTGCCGGAAAATACTTTTATCATTTTGTCTCTGCCCGATGATTTAATATTTATTTTTATTAATGCACACACTTACAGGAAAATGAGATTGGCGATTTTATCAAACTTAAAACGTCCGGTGTATTTAATTTAATGTCAGTTATTTCTCTAAAGTTATTTCTGACAGAAGAATTTATGCGATTCTTAGTTTTTATAACGTTCAAAGTAAATTATGCACATATAAATTGTGACTAAAACATAATGGAATTTCTCTAATATAAAATACCGTCAGAATGATTTAACAATATTCTAGTCATATTCTAAATGGGGCCATCTTTTAAATATATGAATATAATGAAATGGAATATGAATATATACATTAAAAAATAGTGTCCAATGATAAATGAGTGATTTTATTCAGCAAAGTTAGGCCTAGATCCTCATTTGCAACACGAGATCGAAAAACAAGAAGGAATTCTGATCTAATTTTTAAATGTAGCTTTAGTAAATAAGGCTAACGATGTAGAAATTTGCATCACCATTTTTACGGCTAAAATAACTACAATTTGTGAAGCCTGTAGCATATACGAATCTTAACAAAAATGCCATCTTTTAACTAGAAACATAAATCAAATTCTAATTAATAATAGGCAATTTTAGAATAATATATGATTTGATTCAACAAGATTTTAAAACCGATCACTTTAACAGAATCACACAAAACAGGCCTAAATGTAGGCCTAGGCCTAAGCTAATAAATCTTAACGTTTTAGCCTTTATTTTGAGCACCTGTGTAGATCTGGCAATATTAAATATTATTTATGGCTAAATTATTCATGAATGAAGATTGAATTTGTGACGATGTTTTTGTATTTGCATAACTCGAAACTAAACGGGCAACTAAAATATTCTTTATAATTTTAATGAAAGGTAATAATCGAAAATCTGGAAAATATTTAAAGTTATTTTTATTAATTTCTTGACTAATTTGTAAAATTACTATTTCATTTTTTGTAAACAATTATGATGACGATGAACTAAAACTAAAGATAAACCTCTCAGTTCTGTAATGTGAAAGTTGTCCACGGGATTATGTTTCTCTTAAATTAATACGTATGAAATAAGATCGTCAAGTGAATTAGTTTCCTAAAAAGCAATTTGACTACCGCTTTATTAGTGAACATCTAAATCGAGCGTAGCTTGTAATGATCAGCGGTGCGTGAAGTTATATTAGTTATTAATTTCAGTAGACGACTCATATCAACATCTACACGCCACATGCCGCGGTTTCGTGTATCAAGATTCAAAATGCAAGACGATGAGTGGATGACAGATGCCCCTTTATTATAATTTCAAGATACGACACTAGTCCTCGACTCGTACTTACAAACTCCGACATTACTACGGCACTGACACAACGCTGCTACCCGCTACCCGCTACGTAGGCAGTGGTGTGGTGCTGACTAGCTGAGCGTTCGTTCACTACACACATGCGTTACGTACGTTACCCGCTCAAACTACCGATTACACTCAGTCTCTTTCATACACATAACTACACGTATAATCTCTCGCTCTACACGTACGATCGGTGTTGTTGCAGTAAATTACTTAGATCGATCATATGCCTTAAGTGTTAAATACTAAAATTGCGTGGCGGATATTCAAAATAGGAGCGTTAGTAATGGACGGGAGCTGGAGATTTGTATGTGTGCGCGAGAGCGCGCCCCTCCCCGCGCAGTCCCGCGTCTCCCCGCTTCGCCCCCGCTCGCCACCGCCCGCACGCGGACGACGCGCGAGGCGCGAGGCGCGATCGAGTAGCGCGCGTTTACACAATCCGTTGGCGTGGCGCGGGCTATGCTTGTGTCGCGTCGCGTCGTGCCCTTCTTGTGACGACAATCGACGCGCGAACACGTATCGTCACTTGTTCTTTTTTTTTATTTAATAATTCTAACATTCATCCGGACTTGAAGACGATCTTGCGGTTTTCGAGCATCATGATACAAACTAAAAGTAAAAAAAAAACAACAGCAATAATTGGATGGTTTTGAAGATTTGTAACTGAGCCGCGATAGTGATACAAAAATGAAGACCATTGAGGAATATAAAAAAAAATGTAAATTTGCTGCCCGCATTGCAAGCAGCTTACATGAATATAGAACTTAAATCGAAAAGTCAAAATGGAATTTAATTTATTTTCAAATTTTTAACGGTAGAATGCAACTGTGAAATTTTTAGCGACTGTTAGTGAAGAGTGCGATACAGTGCTGGATACTATGGAACAAGAACAAAGCCAGAACTTAAGTGCAGAAGACTAAAAAAAAGAAAAATCCAATTTGAAAACTTGGCTGTTCAATGATACGATTACCCACAAAATCATGGTAAGTGTTCTTATGTTATATGTGTGAAAATGTAGACCCGTCGGTTATAAAAGTATTTTTTAAAATACCTTTAAATTTTGCATACTATTTTTAATACTGTAAATTTTAGTATTAATTCTTATAGAATAAATAATTAAAATTAATAAATTATAATGTCTTTAATTTCATTGTATTGTACAACAAATAAAAAGAACTTCACAATTTTCAAAACAACTAATGTGGGCGTACGGTGTTTTTCTTTATATGTTAAGCCCGGTTGGCAACAAAAAAATAGCTGATAAAAACAGCTATATTATCTTGTTGCTGCGAGAATTCAAGCAAGCCTTATCGGCTCTGTTTAAAAACTGTAAATATTTATTTCTAAAAAGACATGCGTATATATTCAAGTTGTAATAAAAACAAAAACATTACCGATTAAATAACGGTTAATTAGTTAGAAAATAATCTAAAAAATACTTGGCAATGAAACTTAGTTCTGTGTAATTATTTATTTTTAAGGCGATTTCAAATATATGGAGGTTATCAATTCGTCCGTATTGTTTTAAACGAATCATATTATTTTATTGCTTACAAATTGCCGGTAAAATCGTGTGTATACAGTGCTGTTTCCATTTCCATAAACAATTTAAATGATAATTATATTAATAACATGTCGCATAAACTAAACATTTTTTGATCATTTTTTTTTCATCATTTGGCCTGTTAAGCGCACGTATTCTGTTGAAAAAAATGAATAATACGTTCTAAACTTACTACCATGAGTGATCTTTTTGTGGATGTGTTTAAATTCTTGTAATTTAATTTATTTTTGAGTGTTAGTCTAACAATATCCACATGGCGACTATCGTTACCTCACCTCTGTAAAAAGTGTTAGAATTAATTTAGACAACGTTTGCACTTTGTCTAGTCCGTTTCTCTATAGTTAAAGAAAAACTATATAAAATGCACAAGTCATTCGTTCATTTTATTGAGGAACTTGCGTTCTCGGAGGTGAATTAATAAAATAAATATAATCTGTCTTAGCACTATAATTTGTTTTAATTACGGAATGCATTTGAAACTTGAAAATATCATGGTCGTTGGCAATAAAGGAGTTCGTAGTCATTCGTTCGGAAGCCTGTCATTAACAGCCATCAACAATACGGCTAATACCCGCTATGAATATGACAGATAATTGTTATTTATTATTTAGATAGAAACCTTATAGTACGTGTGTTTTATTTTACAAGGCAAAGCTTTGGTATAATAATTTTGAAGTATTTAAATTTCAAAATACCCGACCGCAACCACAAAATTTAATGTATTTTTGAAATCTTCCTTCTTACTATTGTAAATCCGTATGTTTGCATGTATGCATGGCTGGATGGATGGATGTTTGTTAGACGGTATCTCCAGAACGGTTGTATTGGTCTCGATGAAATTTTGGTATAGATATAGAACATAGCCTGGAAGAACATATAGGCTTTTTGTAAATTTTAACCGTACGGAGACGCGGGCTTTTATAATTTTACATATAACTTCCTTTATCATTATTGGAATAAATTCTGTTTTGTAAACAGTTGTATTATAATTTTAAAATTACCTTGCTTGCCGGTATAGACGGAAAAACCTTTTCCAAAAAGCCAAAAAAAAAAAGAAATAACAAAAGCGGTTTTTGTAGCACAAGTTATATTTATCTAAAATTACGTTATATATATAAAAACAAAAACGATTAGTTTTCTCACTATTTAAATAGGTATAGATAATAAAATGTTTTTAATTGATAGTGTTACCAGTTTAAAAAAATATTGTGTGAACCATTCCAAATTTGAATTTTGATATTATTCGTCTATAGTAAGATGCAATTTGAACGGATCATTTTTATAACAGTTTTACCATTTTTGTTTCTTTAATTATATTAAATTCATATGACTATAACGCAATAATTATTGAATTGAAAGGTAAAATTACGTATTTAGTTAATAGCCTACCTAATGTATTAAAATTATACTTGTAAAGATAATTTTATACGTAACTCTAATGTATCGATATCGGCCATTACGTGCAATGAAATACAAGAGGTATGAAGATATTAATCTGCGGTTCGATGCTTAAACTAATAATTTAATCGTGCCTCAGGCGACAAGAGGATCGTTAGTCACAAACTGAGGCCCCGGTTCGATTCCCGGCCGCTAATTATTATTTATGGCCGCTGTTATCTCACGCCCGAGGCACTAGGAAGTGTTACGAAATATTAAACATGCTTGCCCCATGAACACTTCGAACGTTAATTGCTTAGGCTACAGAATCGATCTTCGCCTTTGAAATTCTAACGAACCCAACATGGAATGATCGATCATTATATACGAGATTAATTTCTGTAGCATTATTATACTAACTCTAGCTCGAGAGTCCGTCGGGGAATTTAATAAAATCTTAATTAGTAGTCTATGTGTTCTACATCTCTGCCAAATTTCAACGAGATCCATTCAGCCGTCATGGAGACACCTTCTTTCAAACATCCATCCATCCATTCGCATTTATAATACAAGTATCAAATTCAGGTAGTACACCATAATTTGGGTAAAATACAGCAGAATAATTACTGGCAACATTTAATAAAATATTTTACCATCTAACTGATTTAGTGAAAGCAATCATTTTAATGTTAAATGTAAAATAGATATATAACATTAAACTTTAATTGTTTGAAGTTGTGACAGTTTATAAAACCATTGTAAAATTGTGAAATACAAAATGTAGGTAGATCGTTAACTATAAAGCCACATCAAACAGTCATCCGTGAGTGCGGCCATTTTGGTAGCTTTTAGCGCATTACGAGTTGCCAGTATGGCTTCATAAATTTCTTTTAATCCTCAACTAGCTTACGCACTATAATCTTTGAAAACTTTATTTGCTGTTAATTGTTTGGCTCTATGCCATAATCGTGATGCAATTCTCGTTTCAAAACTCACCTGTATGATTTTTGTTACGTGAACCTTCAAAGTCATAAATATCTATTTAAAAATAAAGCAACGATCTTTTATATTTATTTTAAAGAAAAGCTAGATTGTTTTCGGAGCTACATGCATCGCACAGAATGAAAATGACCGGCCTTGGATTTATTTTAGCTAAATCTAATAATAAACTATATCTAAGAATCCCTGAATGCATAATATTTTGTTACAATGTTGCACATTCTTTATGTCAGTGATCAAGTACGTTGGCGAACCCACATGGCTTCGGAATATAAAATAGGTACACGTCAACGCAATGTTGCCAAGTTAACAAATTAATTGATATAAAATTGTTATTGAGAGCTACGTGTCTTGTGCTTTCCTTGATTTTTAAAAAAACATAGAGGGTTAGTTCATGTACAAAACCAGTATAATAAACGTAATAATTCTCAAGAGATTGAGAATGACTCAAAATCGAATAAATTTTAAATGCCTCCAGGCAAATCGTGGTTTCGACTTACAAGGCAAAATAATCTTAAATAATATGTTGTTTTGATCTGACTCATGCATGACATTAATTTGACCGTTGCTTTTTATGTTAGGTTAGTTGTATTGATTGATTTTCGTCCTAATGGATTGTTTTATGATAGGTGTTAATACGGACAAGCTGTCCTGTTGTTACGTTGAAATGTGATATCGCTATCAGAAATGATGTATGATGTATCAATCTTATCAATTTGAGTGACTTTGTAATGCTTCTAGGTTATATTTAAATTTAAATAAAGCGTGTTCCTTTTATTGCACTATTTTTCAATTTTTTTGTTGAAGACAAAGATATTTAAATTGAGAAGCGCCATCTGTTGATGTAAAAACAAAATTGATAAAAAACGGTTAATTTTCGAAGTACAATTATTTTAATTAATACAACCAATACCAAAGGTTTCAACGGTTCTCCGTAAAATGAGATATAAGATGAAATAATTCCATGTGTTGATTAATAACAGCGGCAAATGGGCTGCATTGCGGCGTTCACTTATTACACGAATTATATGGAAAGGCATTCTGATTCTATGAAGAGAACGCAACGTAATTACATCTCAGTTTTCTTCCTTCATCGTACAAGGAGATTCGGAATCTAGGAGGAATTTTTCTTGGTAATAATCGATGGTTAATAATACCCGATAAATACTTCGATGAATTTATCGATATTTAAGGTCTGATTGCTTTTGACTTATTACTTAGTACCATGTAGGCCTAAGTTAAATAACTTTAAAACATTTATTTTTGGGCAACAAAACATTTTTTTATTTCGATTTGTTTTTAATAACTTATTTAGAACAATAGCATATGTTGGTAAAGCGCGACGCCATTTTTTATTTATTTTTCTTTCATGATTCGTTCTTTCTGATCAGCAGTGGGTTTTTGTGACCAAAATCCTCGTTAAAAATATTGTTATCCCTTTTTTGTCAAAGACAATGACAGGGATGTTGATATGTTTTATACAAAGATTTTGTTTTTCCTGTTTTTGCTTATTAAAGGAATGCAATTATAAGTATTATTAATTGTAAAGTGGTACTTAACGGCTCAATTATCTGGTAACATGTTTTATAGACTCGACAATTGTGGTGTTTGCTCGAACACTCGCGTGTTACTTTTTAATTTATCGTAATAATTCTGTTAACTAAACGATTCACGTATTATTCATTCGGCACTTATATTACGATCCATTTCACTAATAAGGCGCGGTCCGTGAAAGTTAACATGCCACGCGAGAACACTGGATACCATTTTGAATTGATTGTACCCAATTTGAAATTCATATTACGATTTATTGTTTCTAATTTTAACACGTTAAATGCCAACTTACTTTCAAGTTCGCTTCATGAACGTAGTAGCATGGATAGTGTTAATATATCAATTAAATGAACATTCACGTTTGTTATCCAGAGTGTGTTGACTTCCATTTATCTCAATCCTGACGTACTATCGTGCTCAGAGTCTAAATTGTTCTCTAAGGGAGATCCTCAGTGTAGATTTTTTTACTAAACCTAAGCTAAAACACCT